GCTTGGGACAACAAATGTTGCGCAATACTGAGCCCTTGTGAAGAGTGTAAGGATGACGGATGCTTTGGTCTGATGAACTCGTTTCACTCGCAGCTGTCTTCGTTTGTTCATTTTCTCAAGCACATGTCAACTGCCCCCGCACCCCATTTACCACATGCACTTGTATGAGACACACCCACCTCTGCTCTGCCCCTCCATCCACTAGGATTTCATTTGTCCATTTCCTATCTGTCGTGTAGGGCATCTGCTCGCTTCTGTGCCTCCGTTCCCCCCTTAGCGTCTCCGGGTCTACAGAATGTTGGCTCTCAAATCGGCAGAGCATTAGACTCCTCGGCCTCATCTACCAATTAATAGAGGAAGCCCTCCTTCGCCAGCGGTGGCCACACAATCCGCCCAGAGGAACAGCTGTAGAGGGTTTGTAGTTAATCCGAACAATTGAAGTGAACGCGTTCACCGCTGCTGCTCGTCTCCATTGTCGTCGGCATGCCGCTTGCGTGGCCAACATTTCGGGGTGGTGGAGAAGACCGTCTAATTTCTCCGACTTCAAGAGCTTGCTATACGTGAAATTGTCCGTGGTTGAACAGGGTCCGAGTGCATGATCCAGGGGCTTTGCAGACAAGAGAGAGAACGAACAGAATGCAGCATGTCGGCCTGTGTGAAGAAAGGAAGGAGTGGAGAAGACCAAAGCATGCCCATGCTCAGCATCAGGTTCGTCTCGAAGGCAGACATGCTGATTTGGCAAATCGGCTAGTCGTCCTAGCGTCGGGAAAGAGAGAATAATACAAAGCTCTTACTTTCAAGAAATCTCGAAAATGTGGTCATTTGAAAAATCTACATGTCAAAGTTGTAAAACATGAAATGTTTAAGGTGATGAAGGAGTGGTAGTTGAATTTTCCCACAATCATATGATTCGAGTTGACTTTTCCACTAAATGTCACATAGACTTGCTTGCCAAAAAGCTATTCCCACCCAGGTTTGACTGTCTTTAAGGCCTCATCTAATTCTCCTCAGCACCCCCGGCGGGACTCGAACCAGGACAATGCAGCGTATAATCTTGGCACGTCAACCACTATGTCACAATGCAAACGGTGCCCTTTGGTCACAGGGCAGATGTGAATTTGAAGGAAATACAGGAATTCTTTGAAGGGATTTTCGATGAAGCTATAGCGATCGACAACGTCACTTATTTTTCGCTAATAATTAGGTTTTCGAGACTACCAGTAGGTCATATATATGAGATGTATGCGGAAATTAAACTACCAGTCCCCTTGTTAATATAACAAAATATGGTGAATGCATCTGACATATAATCTAAAAGCTTTCTTTCCAGCTATCATCCTATTAATCCATCAATCTACCTGGTAACCAATATCAAACCAACGTGGTATATACATCTATCACAGCTAGCACAGTGTCACTATCACGACTTAGCGAACAAGTTTTAAAGTTGTTTGGCAGATTCTCATTTCGTGTGAAAGTGCATGAAGAGGAGCCTCGAAAGTTCTGTCTCAATAGAAGACGGCAGCCGATTCTATTTGTACCGCTGGCGTTTGGTTTTAATACCACGTACATGTTGACACAGTCCACGAGACAACCTCCTCCACTTCGGGTGAAAACGAGTTGAGCTTTCGTCCATCAGCTCAGTCTCAAGTAAAAACTAGAATAAGAAAAATGTCCGGCTTTATCTTACCTGTTACATATAATCATAACTAAGAACGAAAATGAATAGACAAAGATAGATATAGAAAGGTTTGGCTAATTACCTTTTATATTGGTCGCGTTAGTTTTACTTGAGTATGCGTATTTTTCGTCCATCATTTGATGGACTCCATCAGAACTGGAGCTCATTTTTGTAAAAAGTCTCAAGTTAAGCCTAGGTCAAAAAGACTCAAATAAAAAAGAAAACTTAGACAGAGATAGATAAAGAATGGTTTAGCCAATTATCTTCCATATTTGCCCTGTTACCTTTTTCGAGTGTGCGTCTATACGCAATACCGGTCCCAAATC